AGCTTCCACGACCACTGAGGAAACTCACTGGTGCTTCCGAAGTCTGAAGCTAATTACGCTTCAGAAGAAGAGCGCTCTGAGAACGAACGCGGCGACGAGAGTGCCAAGAGGACAGCTAGTGAAAAAAAAACGAAAGGAATAGCAGAAGAAAGGAATTAGCAGCCTTGTATTCCAAATAACACGTCACGTCCTTCGCGCTAATGACGACAGTGTCCGTAAGATCGGTCTAGAACTTGCCAGGAAAAAATCAAATCTCAAAAATCAACAACTCACAGATAGTAGTATACGGTATATGCAAGAGGACGCCCGAAGCAACGATGGCTTGATACGTTGCATGAGGACTTGAAATTAGTTGGCCTTCATCCCGATCAGGCACATAATCGGGAAAAGTGGCGTCATAATACCAGGAAAGCGGACCCCGCCACCGGGTGGGACAAACGCTTAAGAATAAGAAGAATAGGTATTTCAAATAAAACTTCGGTAAACAATTAATACAGATCAGTTTTCAGTCCGAGTATGAAGTAGATGGCATCGAACATGCGATAACAGAATCGCATGATCGATACATATGTACTCCGCGCTCGGACGGCAAGGCGGTCGCGAAGTATGAACGTGGCCTTATAGAGAATGAGCTGTCGTGTGAGTTTGAATAGGTAAATGAAGAAATCAAAGAAGAACTAAATCCTTCTACGCGTGCACAGTTGTCAAGGGCGTGTCTGTCAAGTAATATTCGTAGCCTGAGGCTATTCGAAAAACCGTGAGAAGTTTCCTGAGCATAAAGGAGTAGTAAAAATATACCTTCTTTCCTCGGAATCGGACCGGTCTCTCTTTACACACTTCGAACATGCTCCGCAACCAATTAAACTTGGCCTGTCGGTCTGTGATACCATCATGTCCCTTGATGAGAAATGCTAGCTCATCCAGCATTTTGCTAAATCATTTACGCCATCATCAAATGTTTCAGAACGCTTTCACGATGCTGTACCCCCAAACCGTGCATAAGTGTGATAGTTAGGGATAGTTATTGTACGCGCACAAATCGGTCTACACTACAATCAAAAACCGCGCGAAAAAAATGTTTTGAAGCGTTCGTGCATCTCCGTCAGTATTTCCATCACCTGTGAAATATTGTGGTGCTTTCTACCACTGAAAATGAAACGTGTGGGTATATAGAGGTTCGATAATTATTTATTAAGGCCTAAGTAACAAATTTTACAAACAAGTATAACAAATTATAAAAAACAACGATCCTATGAAATACAAAATAATCATTACGAAATTCAAAATACAAAAATCAACAACTCACAGATAGTCTAGGGAAACAAGAATTTCGAAAAAACAAGAGAATTCAATTAATTGAACGATGTCAATATTTTCACAAAAATAAAACACTACACTGAGTCTTAGTGCCATGCAACTTTCCAAGGTGAAATGTGCGTA